CTTGGTGGGCTGCCGAGCTCCTTGGTGAGCTGTCGAGCTCCTTGAGAGCTGCCTAGCTCCTTGGCGAGCTCCTTGGAGAGCTGTCGAGCTCTTTGATGGGCTGTCGTGAGGTGCCAGGTGTCGTAATCCCATTGGAGTGCCAAATCTGCCCTCATCAATTTGCAACTAAGTTGTCACTTCTCACCAGATGAGTTGATGATTCTTAAGAAGTTAGTATCTAGAGTATGTACTCACCAAATCAACAAAATATTTAAAATAAAATATATCTAAATACAAAAGGCAAGCCACATTAGGGTGGATTAAGCTGGTGCTGAGTATCCCATCTGTAAGATCAAAGATACTGCTTTCACCAAAATGGACTTTAGCATTGTATTAGTATCTAGAATCAGAACAATTAAGTTACAGGTTGATGTCTTGTAAAACTTGGTAAAATTGAGTTCTGAATGCCCACCTCATAAACCGCCTATCCAAATTAGAACCCAGAAGCAATGTTCAAAGTTTCGATACAGTCCGATACGCCAAATTGGGTGTACCGGACTTTGTATCAACCCTCTTTTATATTTTTTTTTAGTTTTTTTTTTCAAAATATGTTCAGGGGGTCGGTTAAAGCCCTGGTTAACCCCTGAAACAGGTCTTACCCCAAAACTCTTTATATTTCGTGGTGATCCACCGATACGTGACGAAATTTTGAACCTTGCCCACAAATTAAATCCTGAATCTGTTTATATAGGTGAAAAAGAAGAAAGGAGGATTATTTCTTCATTCATCAAAAAAAAAAGAAGAAAGGAGGATTTTGTGTATCCTTACTTTTTTATTGTTTTATATTTTTCCTGTGATCAATTCATAGAAGCATGGACTGTTTCTAGCAAGACTTTAGTTAAAGATTTGCTTACACAAGAACTGGATCCGTGTGAACCACAAACTACAACAAAAGAAGTGAATAACACAGCTCCTATGCATCCTCCTTTGCTACTGGTTCTGTGTGATTGTTCCTTACCGCAAAGAACAGTCTTGCATTACTGGTAAGTAGTTCTCTCATCTCATCTTTCCCTTTTGCTTTCACTGTTCTTGATTGCCACATCAACAAAATCGTATTGGTTTTACTTATTGAGCGGTTGCTTTTGTTTTGGAAAAATAAAATCGCACAAATGCCCTCCAAAATTAAATTATTTTTTTTTTCTTGTAAGGAATTCTTTCCATGTTTCTTTTTTATTCTTGTTCAAAGTAGATCCTCTTCTGTGAACAACTTCTGCATTAAAAATTTAAAAGTAGGATTGCTACTACCAATGATACAAAATTCCAATACAAGGTTATTATAGGGCTGACAGACTTTGGGATTGAACATGTGACCTATCTAGATCCCCTCATATTGCAAAAATAGGTGGAGTTGTGCAAGGAAGCTCCCTTGCTTGATCTAATTATGTATAACATCCTGTTAGTAACACACTAAGAAAATCAATAAAGATTGCCTGGCTTTTAATTTTTTAAAGAGGGGGATTAATAAAACCTAGTGGCCATTGTTGAGCTATGACTGCAAAAGAGAAGGGGGAGAGAGAATTTGATTTTGCAGAACTGTGAAGCATCTTTTATTTATCTTTATTTTATTATTCTTGTACCATAAAACACTTGCAAAAGAAAATGGAAGCCCCAACCCTAAAAATTATCCAAGTCAAATGATCGACTATAGCCAGCTTTTAAGATAAATAGCTCATTTATCAAGAACTATGTTCAACCTAATATGAACCGGGAAATCTACTATTTGTGAAATCTTGGATCAGGCTTGCTGATTTGCTTTCTCCTTGTAAGAGCATCACTAACTTGATTTGCTTTGTTATAGTTATTTCAGATTTTCTTACTCCATGCATTCAATTCACCAAATAAAGAATTTTCCATCAGGCTCTTTTTATTTGTTTTTTTGAAAGAATGCACATTACTCCAATTCCATGGGGATGGGAGAAACTTTTCACACTACACAAGTGTTATTGACCTACATTAAACAATTTTGATGTATTCATTCAACTCTAATATTTTTTTCCTATCTTCATGTATTCATGGAGGCTTGGATTTCTTCCAAAGTTCTTCCCTTGGTTTCTGGTACAACCTTTGCTACGAACAGAACGGTTAATGCACAAAATCCAGCATAGAATAAAAATGTACCTGAAAACCAAATAAATATAGCATATTCTGTTAAACTATGTGAATTCATGCTTTCTATGTTATATGCTGAATTGAAAATTTTTCTTCACCTGAGGAGCTCAAGTTCATTAGAAGGTTGAAAGTGTAGGAAACTGCCCAAGCACCAAGCCAGTTCACCAAAGTCACCAAGCTTCCAGCAGCTCCTTTGATGTTTATTGGAAATATCTGTATCAAACAATATTAATAGATGTTATAACCTCTCTTTCACTCAAAGAATTGTTATCACTTCTGCTTCACCCAAACAAAAGAAGGAAAAAACAGTTATTGCTTGTTAGTTATTGGTGCAAAATGACAGTTGATAAAAAATTGAGTTACCTCAGACATCATAACCCAGGGAACTGCTCCCATTCCAATTGAGAATGAACCTATATAGATCTGATTCCATTCGAAGGCATTTCAAGGTTAAGATCCACAGAAGACTTAGAACCACAGCAAACATTGTAAAAACAACCAGAATAATAATTGAATTACCAATACTCCAGACACAGCTAGCATTGGGACCCATGCATGTAACAATTGGTGGCCCTGTGTACAAAATCATCAGGCTGTTACTGAAAGAACAGAAGTTACAAATGAAATCTATCTAAGCTTTGAAATGGTAATCATGTTTACCTTGAGATAGAAGGAAATTCCTGTCAAAAAGCAGCCTAGAAATGTCCCTGTTGCCGAAACCTGAAATTGATACCATCTCCATTGTTCATCCCAGGTGTCTGTCTTGTATAGATGTAAAATTTAAGAACTACTTTAGTACTACTTACAATTAGAAGTGGTCTCCTTCCAGACTTATCCATTAAGAATGCACCCACAATAGTTATAGGGACCTGTCAATAAGTTATAGTGAGATTGGATAAAAAAAAAGATTTTCAATATTTGAGGACTGTGGGAAGAATGAAAACCTGAAGACAAGCATAGGCTATGGTTCCAACTTTTCCTGATGAACCTGCAATTCCACATCGAGCTCAGAATTTCATTAAATGTATTAAGAATGTGTAGATCATCCAGAAGAAGATAACTAGAAATGTGCTTTACCAGCTTCTACAAATGTTTCGCTTGCATAAAAACCTATTCCATTTATACCTCCTAATTGCTGGAACACCATTAGTCCAACTCCAACCTAAATGCAAACAGTGCGTTTATAGTGTAAGGTTTTTATGGAATGGATGTATTTTGTGAAAATGATAAGCCATAAGCTATTGATTTAGAATGTTTTTTCAAGGAAAAAAAAAGGTTTACAATGACTGGACGTATATATCTCCTCTCAAACAAATCCACCATTTTAGCTTTCGGCAAAAGTTGAAGTGTCTCTATATAATCCTGTTATGCAACACAACAGTCAGTACCTTATTATTCAACCTTGTTTATAACATGTTTTCTTGGGTTCAGAAGTTGAATTCACAAACTTGAATTTCTGCAGCTTCATCAGAAACATCAGCATCCTTGCCACGAAGTTTCTGCAGCGCAATTTCAAACTCTCTCTTGCGGCCAACCTTTGCCTGCAAACACAGATAATAATTATATGGCATCTCGCATCTGTATCATTCTTTACCCTGTTTAGAATGCAGCCTAATAGATGTTTTTCCATTTATCTATCAGTGCTTACCAGCCATCTGGGGGACTCAGGAATAAAGAAGAGACCCAAGAGCAGGAAAATGCATGGAATAAGTCCTTCAAACAACACCCCTCAATCAGTCCCATGTCATTGTATTGCATCAATTTTGTCTTTGGGTGTTAGAATTCTTACCAGTTAGAGCCAGTGTTCGCCATGTTACAATTGTCCCTATTAGGAAGGCAACTGATGATCCGGTAACAATCATGAGCTGCAGAACAATCACAGATAACTAATTATCACCACCAGTGTATTAAAAATGAACCTCCATTTGTTTTCCTTTTAGTGTCAAGCTCTTCTACCTGATTCACTGTCGTCAGCCCTCCACGGAGATTCTTGGGAGTTATTTCAGCTATGTAGACTGGCACCTATCCATGGATTTGGTTATTAAAACTTGGAATGATGAGTATCAAGAGATCCACATGATTATATTAATGTCCAACCTAGATTAAGTAATAGCACAAGGAGATTCCAAGTTCAAAATGAAGGGGAAGAAGAAATCTGATTCACTGATGCATACCACATACGAGAAAACTCCAATTCCATATCCTGTGAAAACCCTTCCAGTGTCAAGTGGTAGAGCTCCCTGCCCAATTTGGTTTCTGTTATACTCTAATGGGTAATATATAAAAAGGTTCAAAAACCCAGAAGCAGAGACAAACCTTGGAGAAATAAACGGCAAGCCATCCTGTAATGCAGAAAGTAGCTGACATTCTCATTGCCTGTTTTCATGAACAAGCCAACATGTTTCAAACAAATGGAGAACCCTAGGTTTATTTACATTATTAGATTGCCTCTGTAGTCTGCAGTTACCTCTTTACGACCAATGAAGTCTGCAATGCGACCACTTGTAACTGCCCCAGCCATTGCACCGATTGTCAGTACGGAGCCAAACAATGAATACTGTGAAGTTGCAGTATATAAGTCACAAAAAGTACTAACTTATATTGAAACTGTTGAGCCAAATTTTCATAAAATTAACCATTAGTTAGCACTTAACAGTGTTTACTAAAAGAGAAAAACTTAAATTCAAGTAACAATATTATATGGGACCGATGCTGATTTCTTAGAAATCAAAAGAAATTATTTGTTTGAGTAGCATTTCTGTCAGAAATCAGTTATGAATTTTGTTTGGTAGTGATTTTTAGCAATGATTTGTGTTTATCGAAACTCTCTCTCCCCATGTCAGATGCCATATCATCCAAGAATAATCCGAATTGGCCTAAAAAAAGAGGAATCATTGAATTTGGTGACATCTCTTTTCAGTCTCATTTTAATAATTGTTTTCTGACAGAAATTGGCCAATCATACACCAAAATAATCAGCCATTTTTAAACTGCTGATGTGGTTCTGAAGTGGCACCGATTGGCATCGATCCCAACAACACTATAATCACCGCTCTCTGAAAAGAATGAAGGGAAGGATCCAAAACCATGAAAAAATATGCTGCTGACTTGTGGCGCCCAAAGAGGAAAGATGTCCTTATCTGTTGTCTGTTGTCTTTGAGTCAGATGGGATACAGGTTGGTCCTGATGTACTATGGGTCGGGTCTTGGTTTGGACAAGGTGGATTAATCTGAAATAAATTAGGGATAAGTCTTTTTGAAAAGATCTTTGGGTAGTTTTGACAGTCAAAAGATACATTAAATTTTTGCATTAAGATTTGAATAGTCTGAAGCCCGTTTGATTAAGGTATGTCTTTTTGTGCGAAGATGAATAGAAAAAAAAAATACAAAAACTCTATTTAGAGCTTTTCAAAATTGTCCGATTTAAACTTTTCACGTCTTTTGAAACATCAGCTTTTGACGGCTAAATCTACTACAAACTAAACGGAAAAGATCAAATCGCAGTCTGCCAAGCTTATAAATAACCGATAGACCCACAAAAAGACACCGAACAGGGTCTTACTTAACTGGGTTTATAAAATAGACCTAAAACCAAAATACTTCAATCAATTACTCACAATAATAACTTTTTTTTTATGTAACAATAATAATAACTAAGAACTTCATTTTGTTATAATACTAGTGTAAGGGGCGCATGGTATTTTACATGTGCAACTAAAAATAAAATTAATGTGATTTAACTTTTTATGACCCACATCAAAACCAAGGCAAATATCCACTTTATAATAGTATAGATAATCATAATAAAAATGACACTATTTTTAACAGCAAATTGTATACATATTGATTAAACAAAAGTTTTTAACTAAAACTTTGAAATTTATAATTTTAAATAAAAAATATTACAACAATTATAAGAAAACCAAACTACCTTTATATATTATTAACTATTAGACCTGTTCATGGGCCGGGTAGCTCAATGTGCCGGCCCGGCCTAGCCCGATCTAAGTGGGGCTTGGACAAGATTTCAGGCCCACGGGCTCGGGCTCAGGCCTAAAATATTGGGCCCGACTTTTTTTTGGATTGGGCTCGGGATTTCTCAAAAAAGCCGGGCCCAAGCCCGAGCCCGACTTGATAATGTATTATATTAATAAAAATATATTTTATATAATAAAAAAACATATATAATATATTTTTCTTCTCTTTTTTTCAAGTAATAATGAGACTTTTCATTATTTTTTTAGGTTTTGAGGTCTTTTAGTATAAATAAAACAACTTTTAATTGAATTAAAAAGAAAAAAAAATCCTTTTTTCCAAATTTCTAGTTGGGCTCAGGCTCGGGGCCCGGGCTTCGGGCTTTATCATCGGGCCAGGCTCAGGCTCGGGCCTGAACATTTTCTGTTAATGTAAAGGCAAAGCCTGGCCCGACCCATGAACAGGTCTATTAACTATATATATAATTGGTTGGGTTTTTAATCCAATTGAAACCGCAATTTTAGTCGGTTTGAATCTTTATCGGGTATATTTGACCCATCGACGGCTTTTTTGTTGGTTTTGGTGCTATAGTTGGATTTTTTTAGGGATTTTTGGACTGATTTGACTGATATGAATGTGTTGAATTCTCATTCCAGCTCTTGGAAAGCTGCTATTCAAACACCAGGTGATGGGTTTGTGAGTTGTGCCACCGGTGGTGACAACTGACAAGCATCTCCATTCTCCGGCGACCGGCAGGATCTGGTCTAGGTGGCCTAGAACCCAGTTGGGTCCTGAACGACATTTAAGGGGAATTTCAACAAATAATGTTAACTCTTATTGCCCAAGTAAAGAGAACAACTGACTAACCTCAGATATAGATAGATGAAGATCGTTCCGGATAGCAGATTGAGTGGGCGCCGAATAGCCCACCTGCAAACAACATCTTAGGCTTAGCAAAATCGCGTATTTTTTTATTCCTGACAGTTCAGTTCTAAAGCTAATAGTAAATAATTATGTGGAGCAAAGTTTGATTCATCAACTTGACTCCATGGTTTGCAGCTTGCCCGAGTGGACACAGTTTGGAAAAATCAAAGATTGATGGACTCCCTTCTAGACTGAAGCACTTCAGAAAGAGAAATCAGTCTTTGTCAAGTAGTTGGTTGGAGACTTGGTTGATATTTTAGTTACTGTGTTCAGATGAATTCATGGAGTGCAATTGATCTGAACTTGGCCTTTGGGAATTGCAGTTGTTGTTCAAAAAGACAGATTCAAGAGCAGAGGCATTTTTACTTGAAGGATCTGAGAAATGCATGAAGAGTTCTCATGCAGAATAATCAATTAGCCCAAAGTTGGTGCTATGCAAACCAGATCCTTAGTCCATATTCATGAACTACAGGATCAAACAGAGGGGTTGGGTGTCCTATAATTCAGGGGTTAAAGGAGAAGGAAGTGTTAATTGAGAGCTGCTACTTACACAGGACCCAAACTCAAAGGAGCCGCAGACTGCAACAAATGTACTAAGTAAAACCATTCCTATGGTTCCTCTGTTCTCATTCTTGTGACTCCCATCTTCCTTACAAGCAACAATGTTCTGTTGCTCTATGAGTGGTTGTATCAGCTCTTCCTTTTCACCCTTTTCCACATCTTGCTTCATCGCTATATTTATCTATAATCTATAGATATCTAACTAACAAGAACAAGAAAAAGAACAAAGAAAGAAAGAAAGAAAGAGCCAAAGAATCAAAGAAGAGAGAGTATGTAGAGAGATGGTTATTCAGTGCAGTGCAATAATCTAAATGGAAGGGTTTAAATACAAAAGTGTTAAGATATTTGGGCGGCTTAGATTGTTTGAATATTAAGATTTAAGAGTCCAGAAAAAAGTGCATGTGGGTGCAGAGCTGTCACTGACGTGGAATCTAAACCATACCAGGCCATTCATTCAATCAAGTAAAAACAGGGGCACTATTCCAAAACTAGGAACATGTGTTTTCTCTGATTGAAATCCCTGACCCAGAACTTGGAATCTGAAGAGATTTGTTCAGCTCTATACAGCTAGCTTTTATATTTTAATGGCCCATTTGGGCAGACCCCAAAATGTTGGTGGCACCTCCTAGAGATGGGATTCAGTCAGTGCAAAGCCCGTTCAAATAACTATCATAGGCTTGCATTAGGAATATCTCCCCAAATAAAGCATAGAAGTAGGGAGATTTGGGCCTTGAACTGACTGAAGCCAATCTCGGAATTCATTGCATTTGGAAGGTGCCCATATTGTTCATCAGTTGATAATGCCTAATCCAGCCTTATGTTATAAATGTACCAGCGACAATTGAAGGAGGGGGGGACCCACTTCTGCTTCATAAACTTGGTGCTATACTTAACCATATTATTAATCTAAGTACTAATAATGCCAGCTTGAGTTTAATAATCTAAGGTTTTTTTTTTTTTTTCTGGACCAAAATCCTTGACTTGCATATGGTGTCTAATTAAGTAGGTCCAAAATCCTAGAATCACCCAAGTCAGTGTTCAAAGATGAAGAACAAACCAAGGAGTGCATTTTAGTTAATCTATCTCATCTTTAGTAATAATTGGTTCCAAAAGAGGTGTGAGGGGGCAATCCTGATACCACCACACTCGTTGGACTCCAACTCAAAGCATTTCTGGGAACTACAAATCATGCAAAATTCTTGACTATGAGGTGTTCATTGGTTTGCCAGATCCAATGATATGAGGATCAGATGTAAGCTTTACTCCATTCTTCTATCTAACTCTTTTATAAGAGAAGCAAATCATGCTATTGGGGATTCATTGGGCATGAAAGAGGGGTGCCTCACTCCTTCCCTCTCTCAGGCTAGAATTCTGGAATTTTGGTTTGAGTAGACCAGGTATATGGAATCACTAATAACTATCAAAACCATATGGAATCCTATTTTCACCATAAACAAATTGATTATCTAAGTGTTAGCATAACAACGTAGTCCTACATCTGGATTGAAACGATGTCGGCAAGAGTTGCAGATCTAAACCCATAGAGCATAGATTAAGCCTATTGGTCTAACATAACGCTTTTCTAACAGTAAAATTTAGACAGGGACAAAACCCATTGAGTTGTAAACTAATTGAAGTAATTGCACAACTTGCAAGGGATGACTCAGCCTTGTTTGTCTCATTTATGATTTTGAGGGTCTCATAATTTTGCAATCCCTTCTTCGATTTTGATCCATTAATTTGCTGTTCCAGATCCGGACCTAGTCATTCTGAAATACTGGCGGACAGCCAGTTCTGTCTGAAATCAGTATCAGATTGCTATTTTACATCGCCAATCTATCGATGGTTTGTGCAGCACCTTGTTTTGGACGCCCAATTGATGATTCAGATATTAAATGTGGGCCACGTTACCCGGAGAGGTCCTCGTTTGTGTACATCCAAACTAATGCTTTTGGTTAATTATTTGAATCATCTCACCAATGACCGACCAGGGTTAGCAGCATTTCATGGTTTCATTCGTCTTTTTAGCCATGGCCCAGCCAAGATTCGAACCATCACATCAAATCCTAAAAATTATAGATTGTATTACTTTATAGTAGACTTGTTCATGGGTGGGGCTTTGGGTCAGGCTTGGGGTCGGTCTCGTTTAAATTTTTAGCAAAAGCCCAACCCAATAGGATAGGGTGTCAAGTATACTACAGATGGATCAGTTCAATTCAATGTCTGGACTATTTAATCAGTTCAAATTGATTTAAATTAGATTTTATGTGCATACCAAATAATAAAGAATTATTAGAGAATTTTGACCTGCAATTCAAGCTGAAATATAAGCCTAGGCCCGGGTGTACAGGGGTCCGGCTTGAGCTTCAAGACCTATAACCCTATATATAACAACTTTATATTTTATGGCATATAATGTATATAAAATATATGTTATATATAATGGAGAATCTATGATACCGGAAAGACATGGTATCATAAGAGATTTGACCAATCAAAGCACTCATCTGAAATTGATAAATACCACCTGATTGATCAACTTTTTATGATACTTTTTTCAGTATCATAATTGAACTCTTTATATAAATGTAAAATAATATATATTATCAGACAGATCAGGCTAGAAATGATCACCTCTGATGAAAAGACTTTCAAAGTTGAACAACCTGTCCAAGGCCAATCAAACCCACCGGAGCTATTCTAAGTTGCGATAGGTTTAGTTTAGGTAGGATTTTCATTGGGAAGATTGATCTTTGACCTAAGTTTGTGGTCAAGCCCATGGTTTATGTTTAGGGATGGGTTTTAGTTGGTCTTAATTCTACCAATTCATCCAATTTATACCTCTAGTTTATCAGAGGAAGCAGCTGGATTCAAATCAATTTAAGCCCCATTTGGTTTGCTATAACAGGGGTCTGGAATCGGAATCGCAATGGGTTATTCCGTTTCCAATCATTTGGTTGGGTGGAATTGGAATCCCGTTCTTATTCCTGCCGGAATGGTATTTCCCCAATTGAAAAAGAGCCATTCTTTGCCCCTCCTTAGGAATGAAATCTCATATTTGCTGATTTTAATTTCCATTCTCATTCCTGTCTGAACCAAACTGACTATGGGAATAGATTATTTTGACTCCGATTCCAACTATGAACCAAACAGACCCTTAGAATGAGAGAGAGAGAGAAATTAAAGAATTTTTATATTTTTAATTTAAAAATAAAAACCACATTTGTGAAAAGGGGAGGAGGAGGTTGCGTGCAGCATTGAGGAGGTGAGGAACTCTTGACCTTACTTTCTTTCCTCTATATAGTATAGATATATAGACTAACGAATTTGAATAAAAAAATTGATAAAAGATTATTTGAAAAAAAAATTATATGTATACCAAATAAAAAACAAAGTGTTAGGTGACAATAGAATATTTTAAGGAAAAATCCTAAACTTTTTTTTTTTTTTTTTGAAAATGATACGGTAAAATTTATTCAAAAGTAAAGAAAAGTATACAAGAAGTATACAAAAATCGAAACCCCACAGAAGACCAAAACGAATCACTTACAACCCGAGCCCAAAGCTCAAGGGCCACAAAACAACACAATATGAACCAGTGAGGAGATCTGAAACCAAACTCCTCAGCCTAGCCTAAAAGCTCAAAGCCTAAGAGACCTCCAAAAGAAGAAAGAGCAAACAGACCCTCAATTAACAGCCTAAACTATTTCTTCCTCTACCTCTTCTACCCCTTCCCCTGATGCAATGGGCTCCTCAAAGAGGAGGGGTAACAACCGATAGATCATAACATTCCCTCAATAGTTTGGATTTCCTATCTCCAACTTGCAGGACGGTGTAGAAAACACGTCTGACCAGGAACTTTTTGTTTCCAAATCTAATTCCGGTTCCAAATTCCTTGCAAACTGAAGGTTATAATCCTTTACATCACGGACGAAAGAGGAGCTGATCCAATCCTAAATTACTATTTAACTATTGTTTTATAGTGTTTAAGTGATTGTTATATAATAATTGAAATAAACGATTATATATTATCAACATTTATTGATGCTGCTCAATCTGAGGTGGTGTACGAACTAAGGAGGGCAATCAGATAGTCCTTGTTGGCAGGGCGGGGCCGAGCTACAAGGATAAGGCCGCGCTTCAAAACCTGTGTTCAAGGAAACAGAAGTCAAAGGCCTGAGGAGTTATCCTCGGGTAAGAACTCTGACGCTCAAGTCAGTAGACAGTGATAGGATAGTCGGGTCGAGCTATAAGGATATCGGTCCGAGCCAAGTAGCAGTGTAGGTCTCAGAAGTTGGATCCCTTACCTCGAGCATGGAGTACCTTTTTATAGCCGAAGATCCGTGTCCTAGTCAGACTGGGCTTCCGGGGTTGTCGGGATGAAGTTAGCTGCCAAGGTATTCGGGATAGAGTCCCATTCCCCAGCGGAGTCATCTTCCTTACTCCTCTTTACCCGTAGTTGTACTCATCCATATGACGTGTAGTTGATGTGGCTGGAAGGATAAAATGGGGTTCCACAGTAATAGCGTAGCTCGATTGGGCTAGCCCGACATGACTGAGCTATACCGACTCGGCCGAGTTAGGATGACATGGCAGGACGATAGTTGAGCAGCCAAGTGTCTCACAGGGCTAACTCAGCCATGACACGAACATTTATATTAAAACAAAAAAAAAAACAAAAGGAAAAAAAGCACCATTTCTCCTAAATAATTCAGTTTTATAAACCTAAACAACCCAAGCCACCTGTAATCAACCAAACCCATCTGAGCACATATCAAATTGTGTTGGGTTTAACCTAGGTGAGGTTTGGGTTGGCAACCTTGGACTTTGACCTCAGTTTGTCTACAGCCACTGGTTCATGTCTAAGGTTAGAGTTGAACTTAATTTGACCCCATGCCCATTTGAGGTCGGGTAGGGTATGGGTTTTTCTGTTAAAATATTAAAAAATTAACAGAGCTCTGGAATTGGGGGAGGGGGGATTCCGATCAACCAATCAAGAAATCAGAATGGGAGATAGAATTTGCTGAACGCAATAGCGGTTAAATAGGCTGTGGAGCCAATAGTAACATTCCACATCCATGCCAGTCTTAGAATGCATAAGGCCCATAGCCACTCAACCTCTCAGTATTTTTTCACTGGAGTCGGCCAGAATTGGATTCTGCTTCTCACACAAGGCGCCTCACAATGGCCTCATAGGCACATCCCACCTTGCATTGGGAACATCTCCCGTAAATAATAACATATAAGTACGGAAGAAGTTCTCAGTACACGGTGGATTGTGCCTGTAAATTGTTGTGCCTAGG